GTGGCCACATGCTGGGATCCAAAGCAGGAAGGAGATGGACAGGACTCCTTGAGCTCCTTGCAGCACTGAAGGCAAGCAGGATTCTTCCCAAAGGCTTTACCAAGCACTAAGCAGGAATCCTCTGGTTAAAAGGGGGATTCTCCCTTTCTCCACCCCCTCTGCTCCCACTTGGATCAGTTATTCCACACTTGGGCCAGATCAGCTCTGTGCTGTGCCTGGAATTCTGGCTATTTTGATCTATCCCCTTCTTCCTTCATCATTTCAGGCACAAAGAGGGTGTTGGGACAGGAGGGATAGGGCCAGGCACCAATCCTGCTGCTGTTCCCTAGGTGCCAAACCTTTTCCAACATCAGCTCCTCATCACAAACAGAATCACATCCAGGTCCTGTGCCATGCACAGGCAGAGCAAGGGGGGTTGATTGCAGTGTCAGCTTGGGCTTCAACATCCCACTGTGGTGGGGAGCACTCCCTCATCCCTCCTATGGAGCGTGCCTGCGGCTTCCAACGCCTGCGCTTCAGCATCCCAAACCTGCAGCTTCTCCTCACCCACCTCCTAGGGGAAAACTAAAGCACAAGCCTCACAGGTGACCCCAAACCTCGGTTTCTAGTCCCAGGACCAAGACGGGCTCCTCGGTGCTGTGCATGCAGCCGGGTCTCTCCTCTTCCTCTGATCCTGATGCTCACAGCTCCCAGGTAGCAGCATTCCTCGGAGCGGGTGCACGAGGGACCCTCACTGGTGGCTGGGGCTCCACCGGCATCAATTCTGCTTCCCAGGCTGCAATTGGCAGGGGAGCAACTGAATCTTCCACCCAGCTCTAAAGTGCTCTCAAAGCGACCTCATTTATCACTGCGGCGGCAGCACCCGCAGCCATTCCCCTCCGCTCCCGGCTCCCTCTGCCTCTGCGAGTGAGTGAGGAGATGATGACTTCATGGCAGCAGAATGGGCCCAAGCTTTGTGTCCATCACCAGCTCTTGGGGCCTCACCAGGTCTCGTGGTTGCAGTCTCAGGCCTCTGTGTGCTGCTGCACCATGGGCACAGCCTGAGCATCCTCACAGGAGGCTTCTGTCTGCCCAAGGCTGGGGTTTGGTCTTCAAGGAGCACACAGCACTGGTCGGTTGTGGTTCTTAGGGCCTGGTGTGAGAGGAGCAGGGGATCTGCTTCTTCCCTTGGAGAGATTCAGGTTCACATGGAGAGTCCATTCTCAGCCCCTGAGAGCAGCCACATCTCATAGGATGGGTCCATGCAGAGCCCAGGGATGCTGGAAGCCATCACTGTCCTCCTAACTAGGTAGGACATGTGGGGACCGGCTCAACCTAACATCAGTCCTTACCAGAGCAGATGTGCACATCTGGCCCGGTGCTGGGGTCCTCTCCTTGCATTTCAGTCCACCTTGGCATGGCAGGACTCAACACTCTGCTGAGTGGCACTGATGGGCAGGACTTGGATGCCTCCAACTGTGCGTGGAAACATCAACCCACTCTTCATGCTCCATCACCTTGAGCTGTGCAGCAACACCTACAAGTCCTCCATCCAGAGCTAATCCTAACTCTGCATCAGCCAGAGCTTTAGGTTCATTCTGCGCTGTTTAATCCTCAGGTTCAGGCTTCAGGACTGGCTTTAGAGGGAACTCACAGCGTACACAACACAACTAGCGATGCGCTGCACGTAGGACCTCATTTTGGGCAGCTACCCACAGCATCTTTTGATGAGAACCTGTGCCACTGCGTGTCTTCTGCTAAGAGGACAGCATCTCATTTGTGCGTGGCTTTAGGAGAGAGCCAAGGGCAGGAGAACACGTTCCTGCCTTCGGGGAAACCAGAGGAACCTTTCCCCCCGCCCACCCCGGCTCTTCATTCACCACCTCTGGTACAACACCTTGGAGAGAAATGCCTTTTAGAGCAGGCTCTGACACACGTGTAGCTCCCTCCAACAGCTTCTTGTGCCCTCGGGGCACAGAGACCACAGCTCCCGACCTCATTTCAACCCCGGCAAGAAATAGATGGCGAAGGAGGTACTGCTGTGATAAATCACTGCTGCAGCGAGGTCTCTGTCGCCGCCACCGATGATGCCCTCAGCAGCGAACTGAAGGAACAAGATCCAGCCAAAGGCAACGGCGTTTTACGAGGGCTTCTGGCTGCTTGTAACAAGGTGAAGCTGTCAGGGCCAGTTCAGTGGCCTCAGCTCTGCCCTTGCCTTCAGATCCGTGACACCAACGGCAGCTGCTCCACAAACACAAGGGATCTGGGATGCAGGGAAGTGCTGCTGAAGCCCCACAAAACACCCAGAGACAACAGCAGGAGGCATCCCATGACCCTGTTGCTGCAAGAAGTAATCACAATGGGGAGTCCTTATGCATTAGGAGCACAAAGGGATGTATCCAGGGGCTGGCTACGCACTCCAGCCCTAGAGAAGCTTCCCCAGTCACTCTTAAATCAGCCATTCCTCATGGGAGCAGTGAGGTCAGAGAGACACCCACGGGAGGGACTCACCTGCCTGTTGCTACGCGCTTAAAACAGGCACCTGCATCTCACCCAGTACCCAAAGCCACCCTTCCTGTCACAGAGGTAACAGGCAGTGTCAGCCTAAAGCAGTAGCTAAAATAGCTGGGATGAATCCCAAATGAATTCCCATCCCCAATGTAATTTCAAGATGCAAAACGATAGCAAATGCGTTGCTTCCTTTAGGAGATGTTCTCCTGAACGATTCCCCTCCTTGTTAAATGTCTGAATCAGATTTTGAGCTTGAAATTGCTTTAATCCCTGAGTCTTGGTGCATCTCTGCCTGTTCTAGGAACTATTCCTCCACTTGTAGCCTGTGCTGGGGACAAGAAGAGGGCACGTGGGCAAGTAACATCCCATCCCTTCCCTTTTCATGTCAAATCAGAGCCTCTGACTGGTTTGGGTTGGAAGGGACCTTAAAGCCCATCTTAAAGCTCCTCACTGAGCTCGTGCCTTCCAGGACCCCATGACAGAAAGGTTTGGGTTGGAAGGGACCTTCAAAGATCAGCTGGTGACATCTAGGGACATCATCCACTGGGTCAGGTCCCAAGCCTCATCCCTTCAAGCAGGGACAGCTCCCACTAAACCAGGTTGCTCAAATGACTTCTTTTGCTGTCCTCCTCCAGCTGGAGGATCCAAATGGGGCGGCTTTGGGGGCAGCAGATCCCGAGGTCACTGCGGGATGAGGGCTCTCCAGTGGTCCCAGCAGGCTGAGGGAAGCTGCCTCCCTCCCAGGCCTGGTCCTCCCAGCTCCTACCAATGCCACAGAGAAGCATCCAGCGAGGAGTGAAGGCTTTGGAGGAGAGACAGCAAGGCATCAGAGCTTTGCGAAGCAGGTTGCCATGGAAACCAGCTCATTTAACCCAATAAGGGTCAGGCAACCCTTCGTGTTCCTGCTAATTTAATTAAAGAGGTGGGAAGCACGAGCAAAATGCATTGGCACAGGCTTGACTCGGGGCTGCTGCTCCTCGGGCTGGGTGGGAATCCACGCTGCCAGGCTTCAATTGGGCACCATGGAGCCATTTGTAACCAAAAGCTGGTCCCTGGAGGGGAATGAATCGGAGAGGAAGGATCAGATGTGGAGGAGATGGCATCTGCAGAGCCCCTCATCCCTCCAGCCGCCTGCCACAGGCACATCTCCTGAGGATGCGGGAGCTTCCAGCTGCACTTGATGCTCTTCCTGATGGGCTCCTCGCCTGAGCCATTGGTAACGTGCCTTTATCTCCCTTCTGGATTTGAAGTGTGGATAAAGCAAAGCTGGCAAGGTAATTATTCCTCCCTGTCAAACACTGCTCTTGGTTTGCTGGCTGCAGACAGCTGGAGAGTGATGAATCCCTTTGTATTTGCAGCAGCCTTGGATTTGCTCCAGGGAAAGGTGCAAGCAGACAGAGAAGGTTTGCATTACCGTGCCCCATCCGCACAGGTTCCAGTGCCGAGCAAGGGGCTCACCTGGAGGGGGAACATCGCAGCGCTGGAGATGCGCATCCGCCGTGCTCTGGGATGCAAACGCTTCCCCCCCCCCCAGCCAGGTGAGCTCTCACCTCCTTTACACCATCATTAATGGGGGGTTTAAAGTCTTCCTCCCTCCCTACACGGCAGCTTGAGGCATAAACAACCCACCTTAACTCCAAGAGCAGCCCTGGCCACTGCACAGTGAGGCATGAGTTTAGGCAGAAAAGCCCATCCAGGACATCCCTCTCCCCATCCCTCAGCCCCAGGGTCTGTGTTCATGCTTAGCCCAGTCTTTGGGCAGCTCAGGAGCTGTTTCTGCAGCAGGAAAAGCTCTTTCTTGGCCTTTTTCTGTTATAACCCCCCCTCCTTTTTTTTCTTTCCTGAACCTTCTCTCATTCACCGGCCTCTGCCTCCCTCTCAATGACTCCCTGGGAGTCCTTGAGCCCCAGCGTTATGCTGTGTTATTTATACAGCACAATAACTGCACGTGGCACTTTCCAACAGCCATCAAACAGGCAGGTCCATTTTCTGACGAGGGCACCCTTTGAGTCACAAAATCACTGCCTGTAAAATACAGCGTTCTCTCAGGCCGGAGAGCCTGAACTGAGCTGAGGAGGAGGAGACCGAAGGCTCTTTGCTCTGTTTCCTCAACCCCTTAACATTGAAAAGGGCAGAAGAAATCCCTGGCCTCACATGAGCTTTTGAAGTCCAATGGCCCCTGGAGCTGTTGGGGTGATGCTGCTGCTGCCCGTGCTCAAGGCCAGCTTGGACACAAGGGCTTGGAGCACCCTGCTCTAGTGGAAGGGGTCCCTGCCCATGGCTTTAGATGAGCTTTAAGGTCCCTTCCAACCCAACCCATCCAAGGATGCCATGAAAAAGGCAACCAGGAGAATGGGGAGCTGCTTTTTGGGGTGGAAACTGTTAAACCCCACCACTTGGAAAGGGTTGAGCCCGAAGCACGCAGCCAAGGAGAGGGAGATGGCATAAGAGAGGCCCAAAGCTCCCGGTGCACCCCCAGCAAAGCACAGTAAGTTAATCAGCGAATTGGATCCGTTTGGAATCAGCCTTAGATTATCTATTGAGTAAGGACAATCGGTTGTCAGCATCTGATGAGTTTTCCAAAGGCTGCTTCCTCCCGGCACAGCTCCACTGCGAGGAACAGCCTGGAGGCATCTGTGCTTCCCCACAGGCGCTCGAGAGGAGTTAACCCAAAGCCTTTGCCTCCTTCAAAGCCGGTTAAAACCCTTCCCCAGGGCTTCAGGGACCTTTTCCACCCACCTGACCCCGAAAGCACGACATTCCCAAAGGATCACCGGGCTCTTTTCCCCTTGGCTCTGACAGAAGCCGCGGTTCGTGCCGTCGGCACGATGTTAATGCCACACGGCCTCGCAGAGGTGACAACATTACAGCAGCCCTGGGATTTGCCTGCAAGGAAGCACAATTGCTCATTTCTGTGCCGTGCTCCGGGTATCCTCAGAGGTTGAAACCATCGACCTCAATGCATTTACATTCTCTGAAGCACTTTCGGCCTGGGAACGCTGGGCTTTTCAAGTGGCAGGGCTCAGACGGTCTCCCAGCACGGGGCATGTGGGTCTGTTTGGTTTGTATAAGGTGTAGGATGCTCGAAGATCCCGCCATGACACCAGGTTTAAGGGAAACAGGCTCTTGTCTCGGGCAGGAAACCCACTTTTAATGCTCTTAACAGGCATCATTGACTGACAACTGTGACCTACAGAGGAGCAGCCCTCAGAGGCTGGGTCCCCAGAGCTGGGTTTGCTCCTGCCCAGCTCCCCAAGCACAGCAGAGTGATTCAGGGGGTCTTCAGGGTGGTTTTCCCCCTTCTCCAAGGGTGGCATCCCGGAGACCTTCCCCATTACCCACCTCTCCAGTTGGACGCAAGCCTCGTGCGGCTGCAAGAGACGCCTCTGCTGGAGAGCTTCAGTGAAGGCGATGGGGATGCAGGCACCCTTAGGAACTGCTTTGGTTGCTAAGGGATGTTCACACAAAGCTCAACGAGGAAAAGCGAACACGGGAGGGAAGCCAGGCTCTGTTCCCACCCAGGTCACCCAGCCATGAGACCAATGCACCCAAACCCTGTCCACGGGTAGAGGGGACCCCCAGAGCAGCATCCACATGGGCAGGGGCTGCAATTCCAAACGGGAAGAGCAGAGCAGACCTGGAGCATCCAGCCCAAACCCTTTCCAACCCAAGCCGGTCGATGCTTCTATGAATAGATCCAATAAATGGAGCTCAGGGGGGGTCATTCCCAACCTCCACAGATCTCATGGGGGCTGTGCAGGGAACACGTTTCCCAATCACAGCCGCAGCCAGGAGCTCACCGCTCTCCCTGGTCGTGCAATGGGGCCAGAGCTGATGGCAGCACGTACGTGACCCTTAAACCCTCTGCTCATCTGGAGACCTGGCCCTGGGCCACCATCCAGCGGGAAAACTGCTCATCCTGCTCGGGGCTGAGCGGAGGTCCCCGTGTCACCATGGTGCCATCTGCTGCAGCGTGAACGTGGGGCTGTGGTGGGTTTGGACACTGCCAAAGCCGTTCCAGGGAGGGAATCACATCCCTGCCCCGAGACAGCAGCAGGGGCGGGAGGTGTGTGGGGATGCAGATGGGCTGGGCTTTGAGGGGATCTTTCTATTAAGCTCAGCTTAATTGAGGGGAGAAGTCCCCATCTGGTCCTTTATGTGCTGTAATGGGGGGGGGGGGGGAGAAGTTCAACTCCACCAACTGCCTCCATGGAATCCTGGAATGGGTTGGGTTGGAAGGGACCTTAAAGCTCATCCGAAGCCACAGGGAGGGACCCCTTCCACTGGAGCAGGATGCTCCAACCTGGCCTTGAGCACTGCCAGGGCTGGGGCAGCCCCAGCTCCTCTCTTAGAGGAGGACAAAGTCATTTCCTTACCTCTGTTATCCAGAAACATCTCCCTGCTGCTCTGAAAGTGCAGGAATCCCCATTGCAATGCTTGGCTCTCCTCCGCCGAGAGCGCTAAGCCAGCTGCTTCCATGTGGGAATGAGCCCTCGCCGGCGCTCGTATTCCTGTTATTCCTGCTAGAAGGAAGGAAAGAAATAATCCCCCTTAATTCCTGCAGGCAGACAACTGCTTCCCAGAGCCATCAAGCTGTCCCGCTCAGCAGAGGCTTCCAGAAGGGACAATGTCAAGTGGTGATGCAATTTTGAGGCCAAACTGCATTGGCTGAGCCCCCAGGCTTGAGACAGGGATGCTCCCCATGGAAAACCTTTATCCTTTTTATAGCCCTGAGCTTAAATTACACCCAGTTCCAACCTTCTGCTATGGGCAGGGACACCTTCCATTAGAGCAGGTTGCTCCGTGCCCCATCCAAATGGCCTTTTCCATCTCTGTTCTCTTGCAGGATCCTCTGTGAACAGACTTCGCCGTGCTCCTGATGGAGCTGGAACATGGAGATGGGAACGGATGAGCGGCGTCTGTTGTCCCCAGGCTCCGGGCTAATAGGAAACGAGGCAGTGTTAAACACATGGGAGAAGGAAGCGTGGGGAGCTCCGTGCAGCAGGATCACACACACACACACACACACACACACACACGGGTGCTTTAGAGGGCAGAGGAATCAGCATTCACTGTACAACTGACCTGGATTGCTAACGGAACGCCGCCGCTCCGAGGACACGGGAACAGGCGCGCTCCTGGGCCATGCACGATCCTGTCACCCCGTGTCCGTGCCAACGTGTGATGGGAATGGGGTCACACCTCAGGTCTGGTGGCTCTTCCAGACAGCCAAGTCCTTTAGAAAGCAGCGTCAGAGGAAAGAAAGGAAACGGGGTCCAAACGGTGGCCCATGAGGAGGAATTAGGAACTCAGTAGGGTTTAAGGGGAGAGTTTAGTGGTCCTCTGGAGCTCATGGTGATCCCGCCTCCTTCAATAGCAGGGATGGGGAAATGTCAAAAAGAGAGGGGGAAATGGCAAAAAGAGAGGGGGAAATGGCAAAAAAAAAAAAAGAAGTGAAAATGGCAAAAAGAGGAAAAGTAGCAAAAAGAGAGGAAAAATGTCAAAAAGGGGGAAATGGCAAAAAGAGAGGGGGAAATAGCAAAAGAGAGGGAAAATGGCAAAAAAAAAAGGTGAAAATGGCAAAAAGAGGAAAAATGGCAAAAAGAGAGGGGAAAACGGCAAAAAGAGAGGGAAAATGGCAAAAAAAAAAGAGGTGAAAATGGCAAAAAGAGGAAAAATAGCAAAAAGAGGAAAAATGGCAAAAAGAGAGGGGGAAATGGCAAAAAAAAAAGAGGTGAAAATGGCAAACAGAGGGAAAATAGCAAAAAGAGAGGAAAAATGGCAAAAAGAGAGAAAAACCCCATTCTGGATGGATTTACCCCCACCCAAGGGTGGGTGCTGGGCAAGCAGAAAGAGAAGGGTGTTTGGACACCCGACGTGGACAACCTCAGCTGCATGAGTGATGATGGGCAAACCCGAGCATCCCTGCAGAGCTCCCAGCTCTGGAGGCAATTCCAGGCACCCGCATTCGTGTTCCCTGCTCCCAGCAGGATGAATCCCTCCTCCAATGCAAACTGCAGGAGCTTCCCCGCTCTGCCTTTTCCCACAAGCAGAGGAACGGAACAGGAACGCGTCCTGAAGGAAGTTCTTCCTGCAGCATCACCGCGCGGGATGGGAGACGTGCGTTACCCAGCGTCGCTTCTGGCAGTGCCATGTCAAAACAACCCCAGCAGCAGCCAAGCACCCAGTGTCGGTGTTCCCGACCCGCCTCCGATGAAGGAGGATGCTCCATGCTCTGCAGCTCTCCCCGCTTTCTGCCCCAGAGCTGGTAATTATTTCTTCCTCTATGGCTGCAGAAACACTCGGAGCTACTCAGGATTCGCTCACCGCTGCCTGTATCAGGCTTTAATACATGCAGCCCTTCCAAGGGGCTGAGCAGCTCCCCCGTATTCCTGATGCTCGCTTAAATCCATGCAGGACCGAGCAAATAAGAGCTGCCTGCAGGCGTTCACTTTCTGCTAAATGAGCGTCCAGACATGAAACTGCACCAGGGGACATCCAAGAGTAAAACCGTATGGAAAGAGTATGAGAACGGTACAACCTCGTGTTAAACCCAGCCTAACTCTGCTCTAGTTCTGCCGGCCGCGGTGACTCGGGATGTGCCAGCCTGATCCAGGCAAGTATCAAGGCAATTCCATGTTGCAGCCCCCTGGGGCTGCCTTTTCCATGCCCTGGTTTAGCTGCATTTTGGTTTGTCACGGATTTGCCATCCTTTTATGCAGATCTCTTTGCTTTACTGCTGGAATTCAACAGAAGGAGGGATGGAGGAGCCACTAACCCACCGGCTCCACATTCCTCTTGGGGTTCACTTCGCTGCTCTTTGGACATCATCTTCAGTCCCAAACAGCAGAAGTTCTACCACTGGTTTAACCCACTTTTACTGGGTTTTCATCTATTCCCTGGTTTCTTTACCACTCACAAAGCTTTCCCAGCCAGCCCAAAGCTCCCCGATGTGCCCGCAATGAGCCCCGTGTTATGTATAATTTAGGGTATGTTGAATCTGTCTCTGCAATAAAGCAATAACTGGACCTGGCCTTTCTCCAAACCATCACCAGTTCGGGGTTATTTTTTCCAGGCTGATCTGAGCATCCCCATGGTTCCAGTAGGAAAATGGAGGAACCGGATGCGCCGGCGATGCCGACCATCGCTGGGCTGAGACTGCAGCTCCCTGTTATTCCTTTCCCCCTCCTTCTGCTTGCAGCCCTATCTGCATGTGGTTTGTTTGCTCCAGCCCGAGATGGATGAAGCGCAGACTTAATGAGGTCGTGTTTTCCCACCAGGTCCATTTGCAGCCATTTAACGTTCAGCTCTGAGGAGCAGATTGAGTTAAAGGCTATTTAAAAGTCTATGATGCAGACAAGCGTTCTGCCCACTCCTTAGGCTTTTACCTATTGGTTAATAAGCATCTCCAGGGGGAAGGTGAAGCCCTTGGTTCCCTTCTTGGAGAAGGAGCCGATTTGGTGCTCCTGGATTGTGCTCTTGCTGCTGAGATGCTCTGAGATCCTGCCCCTGACATCCAGACAGCTCCCGACAGCTCCATTTAGGCAGGGAATTGCCTCCTGTGCCAGAGAACAAGCAGAAATCTTCCTCTTGGATGTGGCAAGATGGAACCTGAGCCCAGGCTTCCCCTGCACGCAGGGAAGAGTCACCCTTCACTGATGCTCGTCCCATTCTCAATCTATCCCTGCAATGTTTCTGCTTGAGCAGAGCCACGGGTTTGCCTGAATTAACACTGCCACGATCATGGAATCACATCCCAGCCTGGTTTGGGTTGGGAGGGACCTTAAGGCTCATCTGAAGCCATGGCAGGGACCCCTTCCACTGCAGCAGGATGCTCCAAGCCCCTGTGTCCAACCTGGCCTTGAGCACTGCCAGGGATGGGGCAGCCACAGCTTCTCCGGGCACCCTGTGCCAGCGCCTCAGCACCCTCCCAGGGAAGAGCTTCTGCCTAAGAGCTCAGCTCAGTCTCCCCTCTGGCAGGTTAAAGCCATTCCCCTTGGCCTGTCCCTGCGTCCCTTGCCTGTGGTGCCGAGGTTGAAGCAGAGCATCCAACACCGCAGCCATGGGCAGAGGCTCTCCGCACATGGGATGCTCACACAGCGAGCAGCATCAGACGTGCAGCTCCCTATGGTGAATGAGGGCTGTGAAACCTCAGACATTCCCAGGAGTCTTCTGTTTTAAGGAAGAGCTCGGCCACCTCTCTTTGGACTGAGCGCCTTTGAAGCACTTTCACTTCAGGTTCCCCCATGGCTACTGTCAGGTCATTGCTCCTCTCTGGCAAAGCCTTGCCTTGGCAGGAGGCTCAGCGGGGTTCCTCACTTGTTAATGGGGCTGATTACATCTGAGAGCCTCCCCGCTCACATCCCCTCTTCCCCATCCCAGCAGCACACATCCTGCATCTACATGTGCCCTGTACGCTACGAAGCGCACTGAATCTTGCCGAGGGCTCTGTGATCCTTGATGGATGTTCCCAACACCACGGGCGCTGCTGTGATTCCTGCCCAGGAACCTCCGTGGCCGTGGCCAGCGCATCCTGGTGCAATCCAGCCCTGCGAAAGGGAGGAAGCAGGAAGGGGGAAAGGTGGGAGAACGTGTTCCGAAAGAGCAGAGCTCTGTGCTTCAGAAGATGGCTGCAGGGCAGGCGAGGCCACCGTGAATCAGGGCTTGGCCCTTCTCCAGCCATTAGCATCTATTTCCTCTGCTGGCTCCAGGCGCCGTCTTGGTAGGGGAGAGCTGGGAAAGGATCAGCCCCTGCGGCTGCTCTGGGGCTGGTTCCAGAGCAGGGGCTCCTCCCCAGCACCACCATCTGCTCATCCTGCCCCATTCACTGTCCCAGCCCCGTCTCTCCCTGCCCTGGGGACCTTGTGCCAGCAATGGGAGAAGCCGGACAGGAGGGGGCCCTGGCCCAGCATCCTCGCAGCATTCCTTATTTCACTGCAGGCTACAGCGAGGATTCCTCCCCTGTTGCCGCAGAGAGCTCGCCCTCCTCAGGGGGCTTTACCCCTCGTGTTAAACGCAGCGGCTCCAGGAGAGCTCTCCTAAAGAGGGACATCAATCTTTGGTGAGGATCCGTGAGCACACGGAGCAGCCCCCAGCCAGCGGAGGGTTAAACGGGAAGGTTCATTCCTCAGCCCCATCCTACTCGGTGCTGGGAAAACCGAGCCTGGAACGCTGGGGAGCTGGGCAGCCTGCACCTCTTGTGCCGTTGCTGTGAGGTTATTGCCACCACCCGCTCCAGCGCTGCGTTCTCTGCTCTCCTCCAGCAGCAGGTCCCTGTTTCTGGACAGAAGGAACCACGTCCCATCCCTTGGCATGTGAGGACCAGAAACCTGCTGGGTATCGATCCCAGCCGCAGCAGCAGCCAAGCCCTGGCACAGCTGAAGGGAAGGGGAGCGTGGGCCCAGCGTGCAGCCGCTGCCACGGCGCGATGAAGAGGAGCTCTTATTGACCCGGCTCAAAGCCCTTCCCCTTCCTGCACTGAGGGCTAAGTTTAGGTGGATGACCTGACACTGGTGATGCCCCACATCCGTTTCCCATCCGAGGCGCTCCCGCAGCAGGGTCACATCCGCAGAAGCCATCCCAGCTCCATCTCCTGCCCTGCTGCTTCCCCAGTGGTGCCTGCCCCTCTCCCATCCCAGATGCCACCAGCAGGAGCGCTGGATGCAGGTGCTGACCCCTCCCCAAGAGGTGCTGCCCGCTCCCTAGGGTGAGCTGAAGCGCACTGGGATGCTCCACGGGTCAGTCCTGAACCCAAGGCTTGTCCTGAACCCAAGCTGGGACTTGAATCCGGAGCAAATCCTGCCACCATGGAATCTGGGTCTAAGCAGAACAAGCCTGGAGCTAAGAGAAGGCTCTGCCCTGCTCTGGATGCTGAGATGTGGCTCAAGGAGAGGACAGAGCAGCAGAGCAAACCCATCCCAGGGCTCACGGCACATCCCTCACCTCACAGCACTCACATCCAGCAGCACAGACCAGGCCAGCCCAGAGCAGGAGCCTTGGAGACCCGTTTATCTCCATCAGGACACCAACAGGTAGAGCTTGGTCCCTCCCTGATGCTGCCCCACCACAGGTGCTGCAGGTATCAGGCGAAGAGGAGCTGCACGGAGCAGCTTGTGATGGACACGCGGATGCGATGCTTTAGCCCTGCAGGACAACCCGCAGCCCTTCCCGAGACGAGCAGAGCTCCCATCCCACCCCAGCATCACCCCTTGGAGGCACATCCTGACCCAGCCCTGCCTGTGGTGATGGTGCAGAGCCTCTGCTCCTGGTCTGAGCAGGGTGAGGCTGCTGCTGGCACAAGCCCAGGCACCAGCCCTGCCACATCCAGCAGCAGCACTGCAGCTCCCTGCAGCCAGGCAGGGAATGGGAGAGGAGCCGGGAGCCAGGGGGAAGGGATGCGGAGAGCCCGCAGGTACCTGCTGCAGCATCCCTCTTCC